TTTAGTTATATTCACTTATTAAAAAAAATATTTTAATATTTACTAAAAATAATAAAATAGGAGAAATAAATTTAACAGTGTTACAATATTCTAAATACAATATTATTTTTTACTATATTTGTACCACCATTTTCAAATTTACTGATGCCTTTCATGTATTTATAAGCTTCGATTTAAACTATAAACTAATACGTTTGATGTTATTACATGTCAATGTGACAGGAGCCTATACTCGTTCGATCACACGAACTGTTTCGTGTCTTGATATAAAATTGTCCCTCTATTACTCTGTCGTATCACTTAAAGATGATTGGCCTTTCTTGCCATATTTTAAATAATGGCATCGTAGTAAATGATACTTAAATTAAAAACTATTGATGCTTGGAAATTATGGTAAGAGTATTAATTATTATAATTAATACAATAATTGAAATAATATTAGAAACGTATCAATATTTCATTAAAATAATTCAAATATTTGATTAAAATCATTAATAATAATCACTGCGATTTATAATTTATCCAATTTTTAAAGCTTTCCCCAAATTTACAATTTATTTTGCCTCTAATCTAACTAATTATTATAAATTACCTTCTTATCCTTGTACTGTGCCTTGTAAAATCCATCTTAATGTAATTATTTGGTATACTTAGAATAAGGAAACTTTTGTTTTGTGTATGGATTTTAAAGTTTAGATTTTTTTAACATGTGAGTAAAGTACTCGTATATGAAGTTTTTGGAGGAAATGAATCTTTTCGTTATTTAACGTTGGGAAATGCACGAAGTGTGGGACTCACCGGCGAAGCCAGTACTACCCACTAAAACCCAACAAAACCAAAAAAGCTCCAAGGTCCACTCTGCTATCATAGAAGTACCAGGTGTAACCTACATGGTACACCACCCACCGAAGAGGGCCACCTCCCACAGCCCACCGAAGGGGGCCACCTCCCTGTGCGTTTCTAGGCTTCGCGCCCGGCTGGAGTGCCGGGCACTACTCTTACCCCCCCCCCCCCCACCACGACAAGGTGAACGCACGTTGGCGGGAATTCCGCTACCACCTGAGTCAACTCAAGTCAATTATGTACTTACTAATAAAAAAATATATTAAGAAATCAACTTAAAAATGTGGAAAAACCTCGTTAATGCCACAAAAAATAGACACAATTTGAGACATAATTTGTTGCTTAAAATTAATAAAAGATTATTATGGTATGGAAAGTGTGTGATGAGATTAATATGTTGAAAAATAGTACAGACGAGTGAGAAGTTAGAACTGCCCTTTTAGTCTACTTATTGGCCTTTTCTGTCAAGATATTCTCAGCAGTCTCAAAGTTTGGAAATTGATGATGATACACCTCCATGTGTCGGAGAACATGCAAAGCCATCGGTCTTGCGCCTGATCTCTCAACGGTCGTGTCGAATTGTAATCCCAACGGAGTTTGAGAGTGAGAAGTTTATACTTATATTGTAAAGAGTACTTATGCTTCGCTTTCACTTTATTGCCTTCGCTGTTGGCTAGTCTCAGCGACCGTTGGGATCACAATCGATCATATTCCTATTTAAAATAAATTCTCAATCTGATTTATATATACCAATTATGATTGTAAAACATCTATTAGATCTCTTAAATTAAGAATTTTGGTGCAAATTAACCTAAATATTTAATAAACTAAAATATTTAAAATTGTTTTTAATTAAAAAAAATATTATTCTATTCCTTTATCAGAATATAAATAGAAATAGAAAAGAATTCATTGTTTCAAAAATATTATTTAAACTACAGTTTAAAATAACTTACAAAACTTGTATAAATACTGGCATAAAAAAAGTATATCAAAGTGACAGCGTCACGTGCGTCATTGACCTGAAACATACATAAAAATATTTTATAAGAACATTTCATTTAAAGCAGATTAAACTTGAATAAATAAGAGGTTTCGAAGAAAACCCCCAGATCCAATAACACTTTTTATTTGATGCTTCATTATAGAAGACAGTTCGTTTGGAAATAATTAAATTTACAACGAAATGAGCGAAAACCAAACGATTTCGGAAAAAGAGCTTTTGGACGCAATAAAAAATCTTTTGAAAAAGAGCGGTCATCTGAATAAATTTCAGGCAGAGGTGTTTTATTATTTTATAAATCAGTATTTATTCAAAGCAAATTAATTGACTATCTTTCCTTTCTAAGTTCTGAATACTTTGCGTTAATCTGCGTGTATTTTATTAAAGTAATGAGTGCCTTTTACGCACGTATTCGATGAATACAAATAATTTTAATAAAACTTATTTATGCTGTGAGCTAATATATAGATTAGTATGTCTTATCCAAGCACTCAATTCATACGTTTCTGTTTGTTAGAAGTCAGATATTGTGATTCCCTTTATTGTTTTTTAAAAGTCCACGTAATATAAATAATATAAAAAGTTATATAGTATAGAAAAAAATATAATATCTATTTCATCCTAGCAACTTTTGTGAGTGTGGCCCTTACCAAATTTTATCAAAATCTGTTCAGCGATTTAAGCGTAAAAATGCAACAGATAGAGTTAATTTAACATGTTTTGTAATATTAGTATGGATCTTGATCTTAAGATTAAATTAAAATCTAAAAGTAAGATCTATCTCCTTAATAGATTTATTTTTAATCTAGCGAGGTACGGAACTAGGAACGTTTTAACGGTTAGTATGGAATAGAAAAACTCAGTAAAAAACTAAAGCAAATCTATCCCACGGGAATCGTAAATATGTTTTTCCGGGATAAAAAGTAACCTATGTGCTATTCCAGACTATAATCCATTTCTGTGCCAAACATCCAAATTCGTTCAGGCGTTCTGAAGTGATTGAGTTACAAACATCCATCCATCAAAACTTTCGCATTTATAATATTAATAGGATATTGGGATAGCGGCAATCGTAAAGTACTATGTTTTTCTATAAATATAGCTTCAAATGATTCTCTTCAACGCTAATAAAACTATTATAAAATTGAAAGTTTTGTCTACACAGTACATTTAAACGGCCGGTAAATAGTTGAAATTGATATTTTTCTCAAAAACTGCGAAAGGCTCGTAGTTCAACAGCTGTTTTTGTCGGCCTTAAAAAAAGAATTGAACAGAATTGTGCGCCTCGTGTAAATTCCCTTGTATTCTTGGTGTATGTTACATCTTCGTTAATGTGAATGGATGTTGTATAGTTTTTTTAATGAAATTTTTTTTTTAAAAGATTTTGTCATTGAATTTTTTAGCAGCTATTGACAATTAATTTTATCAAAACAAAAAAAAATATTATGGTCGAATTTCCACTACTGAGCGAACAGTAGTTATACTAAATTGACTTTTAAGAGTAAAATAATTACATAAAAGTGACCAGAGTTCGTCTCTAGGTTGATTCCCCATACAAACTTTCATCCACATTGTCAGCCCCCTTAAGGGATGATTTCCGGAACAAAAAGTATTCATTATCCTTCCAAGGCTCTCAAACTCTCCTCTTACCAAATTTCGTCTAAATCGGTTAAGTAGTTTTTGAGTTATTTGTTACAAACATACAAAAATACAAATCTTTCCTCTTTATAATATTAGTGTAGATTATTTTGCCCTAAGAATTATTATAGAGTCGGTGTATTTTATTATATAATATTAAACTATTAGGAATATTTACAAGAACTGTTTTCAAAATGTAAATTTTGTACTCTTTTTTTTGGTATTTATATAAAATTATATGACTACTTACGGAGATTTAGCGTAGCGAAGGAGTTTTTGTAGTTTACAGAAAATCCATACTAATATTTATAATATGTAAAACTATTTGAACAGATTTTGATAAAATCATAAATTGCATCCTGGGTACGGATTTAGGGTACTTCTAATCCCCGTCCCACTTAACATGCTGACTAGGTCGCGGGGAAAAGCTAGCATATTATATAAAGAAAAGTTTTACAAATTATATTATATAATTCTACTACATGCGCGTCCAACTCGCACTTGAAAATATTTTCTTTATTTTAATTAAGTTAAAATTGGCTTTATATTTTAACATCAGCAGGGATTACATTTTAACATTTTCGTATACATGTTGTATAAAATGTTAAATTTTCATGTTAAATTTCACTCAAATTTAAGTTCAAGCAAAGAAAAATTAATAATGTAACATTTCATTTGAGCTTAAGTCTGTTTATTTAAGTCCTAGTTATTTATTAAACACTTAAGTAAATGACTTATACCTTTGTACCTCAAATGAAAGTTAGCTATGTTCTTCACTTTAAACTATTAAAAAAGGTCATAGTCTATTTGTCATACATACACACGCACACGCACACATGCACGCACACACATGCACGCACATTCACACGTACACGCACATGCACACGCACATGCATACGCACGCACACACACAAATATATTCATTTAGAATAGTACTCCAATGCATATTATGCAGATAATAATTAAAAAAGTAGTTTGACCGATTACAAAAAGGTGAAGTTCATTCAACGTTACGTTGGCGAAGTAATTTATGCTGTACTGGCACAATTTGAAGCCATTAGTAAGAAAATTGGACTGAATATTTTGATGTATATTGTTTTTTTGTTAAGCGACATCTTCGCCAATTATTATGAAACGAATTTCTTTTTTAATAATCAAGTTGTGTCTTTAGGGTGGTCTCATAATATTTCAAGTAAAATTGTCTCTTCTAACGGGCGAAATAACGACTTTGAAACTATTTTCTAAATCAGTATACCTTTCAATTTTAAAAAATTGCGTGTGAGTGCACAATTCACACATGATAAAAGTGAAACTTAACATTTTGTATTTGTTAGACAATAACAACACTTGGTTGCCATGGCAACATGGCAATGTATTCTATTTCATTCTCTCGCCGGCTTAATCCAATATATTTATGTGTTTGTCTCTTTTTAGTACTGCATTTCCACTTCATCGAGTTTCAAATCACAACGATTCTAAAAAAGTTTTATGTTATAATTAAAATTTTTTTAACCAGATGCGTGCAAAAGTTACTCAAGTACTTCAAGAGAGACATATGTCATTGAACCCTGGATACAAAAATTCAGGCGCACCACAACCAACTGACGAAGTTTTGTTAATAAACGAATTGGTCAAAGAATATTTGGAATGGAACGGCTATTTGTATACTGCATCGGTACTCACTTCTGAGGCAACAATGCCTGATACTAAGAAAACTAGAGCAGAAATGTGTGCTGAAGTTGGTGTTAAGGATGATGAAAAATCTTCGGCATTACCACTATTGTCTAACATTGTGGGTGCCTATACTGAACGTATAAGGCGAAAAATCAGTCGAATTAAAAAAGACAGCCGGTAAAATTTATACAGGTTATAATCTATACATATAATAAAATTCCGAGTCCAATTTCTACATTAATTATTTTTTTGGAAAATCATAATAAAATAGTTATTATTATCGATACACAGGCCAAATATATAGTTTTAAAATGTGTGTCTGTCTGTCTGTCTATCTATCTGTCTGTCTGGGAACACATCAGAAGAAAACTAATGGACAGATTTTGATTAAATTTGGTATGATGATAGCTGGTTATCCGGGTCAACTTAAAGAATAATTTTTGCTGCGGGAAAATATCTCTGAGAAATCTATACTGAACCTTAAAACGTAAAATTATGAGTGTGCTGTAGACATTTTTTATATTTTAATATTTAATTTCTGTTATTTTGATTTGAATATTTTCAAATAGTTCCAACGTCAATTTTAAGTTGATAATCAAATTTTATAGTATCACATGTAATTTAAAAAGGATCAAAATAAGACAAAAGTTATTGTTATACGTTAATTTATATTAAAGTCATTAAACAAGTTTTATATTTATTTAGAACAAAAAAGTTGGTCGTTTTAAAAAACTATTTAGTAAGATGTTCTTGAAATATTGATATCTGCCCGAACAATATTGTTTCTTAGTTCAACCAATTTTGAATTTAACAATTAAAATGTATGTGCGAATAATTTATATCCTATACGAAAATAAATTTATACTTAATAATTGAGTTTTTTCTTTATACGAAAGCAAGTCTGTGTTGGTACATATACATATTCATAATATACACCTTGATAGAGATATGTTGTATTTATAAACTTGGGCATTCTAAATCTAATTTTAGAGCCGAATCAAGAGTAACCCAGACTCATCCCTCATCAAACAAAGTTTGCCTTTATATTGTATTGCTATTTATAAGGTACCCTTAACTTTACCTGAATGGATATAGTTAAAAACAGATATTGAAAAAAAACTAATATTTATTTGCTATGGTGGAAAAATATATCTCCTTAGTGTGTGTAATTAGTAGGCTGCACTGGACTTCTTTAAGTCGAAGACATTCCCAAAAGATTCATGCAACTCTGAATACATATAAATTATATTGTATACATATTGTGTATTTTAACTGTTTATGTTAAATTTAAACTCGTATGTTAATTGATTTTTGACATTTAGGTTACTGGCATAATTATGCTTATAAATACAGAAATATGTTAAGACGTATATACTGTGTAATGTGTACACGCGTTCAAAACCAAAGCTGGCCACTAGTCTTACATAATATTTTCCTTTTATATGTGAAATAACTTTATAATATTATAAATATAATAGTTTTAAAATCAAAGTTGTGCAATTCCCAATTGGTAAGAGATCTCAGACTTTATTTTTCTTGAATTATATCAACAAAACGTTGATATCAAGAATACGTAGCAAGAACGATAACAAAGCTTTGAATCTTACACAAATATTGTGTTTAACAAAATATCATGACTGATCTTCTGAAAATATATAGTTAAGCGTGAGTAAAATATTCATTACAGTTGAGGTTTTTTCTGTATATAGTATATACAAAAAAAACCGCGGCTAAGCCCGCGTTCAATCTATAAAAAAAACTCTTGGCTTTATGTTATACAGCCTAGGCACTATACTACTAGTATACTAGCCTGACATTATACTAGCCAGCATATATGTATATATTCATCCTAAGCAGGAATCGAACCTGTTAGCTACTACGTAGAAACCAGTAGTCACTATAACAGTACAATAGTCTTCATATATATTATATTTTAAAACGTGAGATAAAAGCACTTATCTCGAACAATCTTTATAATAGGTGGCCATTTTGTGGAAGTTTCAAGCTTTTTGTTGTCCATAGCATTTTTGTAAGCCAAATGAAGCAATGGTTCACTTTCCCATTTTGTTCGTTTTTAAGCTCATATTTAGAATAAAGAACAGGTGTATGTGATTTACATTAATTTAAAAGAAATAGCACAAAAGAATATTTTACAGTTTCATATTCATACCGCACAATTTTCTTAACGTTTTTTCTCAACCGACGTAATCTATTGTTGAAATATATGAAAGTTATTCGATTTTAGAGTAGCAAACCAATATTTTATAATATGTAGACTAGAAGACAGTATCCTTTTTTTAATCTTATACTAGCGACTCAGCCTCGCTTCGCTCGGGTTCGTCCCTAGGTTGATTCCCCATACAAACTTTCATCCTCATTTTCACCCCCTTAAGCGATGATTTCCAGGATAAAAACTGTTTCACTCAGTCACTTTTTTTAACATGAGATTTAAAAAAACTTATTTAGTAAAAAAATATTCTATTAATTTTCTTCTATACAAAACTTGTCCTGACAATAACAAACACAAAAAAAAACAAATATCCAATTTGGTGCAGTCGATCGGAAGTTATACGCGTACACACATTTCGGTAATTGATTTTTATTTATATAGAAGACTAGCTTTCCCCCCGGGTCCGCCCACGTTCAGATGACCAAAAACCAAATTCTTAGGTTTTACATATTAGTATACATTGCAGTTTTTGTATCTTTTCTCAGAAACGAGACATTTTTCCGCGGTAAAAAGTATCCTTTATTTGTTTTGTAAAAAGTATCCTTTAGTTGACCCGGATAACCAGCTATCACCATACCAAATTTCATCAAAATGCCTCCAGTGGTTTTTCTATGATACGGTAACAGACAGACAGACAGACAGAAAGACAGACAGACAAAAATTCTAAAAACTATAGATTCAGTCTCTGTATCTATAATAATGTCTATTTCAATAAGATTTTCCAAAAAATATTTAATGTATAGATTCGGCTTAGTAACAATTTTTTTTAGATGTATACATAGAAGATATATATTCTTACGTATAAATCAGACTGCAGTTCATAAATTTTCACCAATAAGTAATATACAAACGTGTCGACATATAAAGGCTTTCTAAGCTTAATGAAAGACTTTATTAACTTGGACGCAGCGGGGAGTAACCCAGAATCTGAAAATTAAATATTTCCCATATAAAATGATGGAATGCAAGCTAGATATATTGTAAACTAGTATTAGTATGAAGATTTATAGCATTCATTAAAACATCAGGTAGAGCTTTATTTGCACTTATTCGTACTGGCTTATATTTCATTATTAAAATACTCAACAATATTTAAAATATTATTATTTTATAATATTAAATGAGCAATTCTTGTGTTTATATAAATTTATTTCGAGTATCTCGGTAACGGCTGTAACTATTTGGATCAAATTTTGTATTTAGATAAGGGTTTATTTTTTATCTTTTCTGTAAAAATACATGTCCCTTCAAACGCCGAATGAAGCTTAATCGCCCAGATATTTTTTTTATCTATACTAATATTATAAAGAGGTAATATTTGTGAATTGTGAGTTTGTAGGTTTGTTACGTTGTAGGGGATAATCTCTGGATCTACTAAACCGATTTAGATGAAATTTGGTAAAAAGATAGTTTAAGACCCTGGGAAGGACACAGCATACATACATAAATCCCCTTCAAGGGTAAAAATGGGGGTGAAAGTTTGTATGTGGAAGGAAGCTAGTATTAAAATAAGTTTCTATTCTTATAACTTTTTTCTCGTAGAAAGTATCAATAAAAATAGCCCATGTGTTAATCCAGTTTATGAGCAAGTCATTCCGAGTCTTACTCGGTTTAGCCATCTCCGCGTGAAGAATAATTTTATTAGTATCAATATTACACTCTGATAGTGTAATAAGTATCAATAATAACAAAATGACTATCATGGAATTGATATTTGTAGACTTATGATGTTTGTTTGTGCATTTGTTTGTGCATGTACATCTATTGTGTGATACCTTACGGACTTTATTCGATGTTTCAAGGATTTTAACTTTTAGGACTCTATATTGAAAATTCTAGGACAAATTTAAAACTATTTATTATATTTAACTATATACTATAATATCTGGTGTTGTGCAACTTTGCTCACGTTTTTAGTTACTTTTATCCTTTATCTCGTGGTAACTCATTTCTGGCGTATCTTCCACTTTAATTCAACATCTGCTAGAGGGCATCCCGGAAAAGATCTGCTAAATAAAAATGTTCAGTGATTTTATTAAATAAAACTATCTTTTCGGATTATTTCGCGGATTTATTTTGATTTTTGGTTCCCGACGTTTCGAATGCTTTCCAGTATCCATGGTCACGGGAGAGACTGACGTGAGAGTCTCTCCCGTGACCATGGATGCTGTAAAGCATTCGAAACGTCGGGAACCAAAAATCAAAATAAATCCGCGAAATAATCCGAAAAGATAGTTTTATTTAATAATGTCAAACATTCGCGTAAATCTAAGAAAGTATTATGTTCAGTGATTCTTGGTTTTTGTATAGTACTAATCATAATTGAGCTCTATATATAATTATTTTGAATATACAATGACATAGATACAAATATTTATTTAATTTTCATCTAAACTAAAATTAAACTTATTTTTTATAAAACACACCTAAAACTAAATGTAAAAGACATCTAAATATAGGGGATCCCATATTAATTTGCAGTCGTCTTGCGCTTATATTTAAAGGCCGGCCGTAGGGAGACGGTAGCATTTTACAACTTTAATTAAAGTGGATAACCGTCAAGCTATTTAAGTCGGTATAAACTGGCCTGCTAATTTGTTTTGCGGACTCCGCTTTGAAAGTGTACACGTTTATTATTCTTCTAAGTTTAATTTCTTTGCTGTCCTACTATTTAAATTGTGCGAAGGCAGTTAGAACTTACCTGACTAGATGTTGTTATAATTTAGGTTAAAATATCTATACATATATAAATATACAAAATCTATACATATAATAAAATTGTAACTAAGCCGAATCTGTAAATTAAATATTTTTTGGAAAATCTTATTGAAATAAACATTATTATCGATACAGAGGCCGAATCTATAGTTTTTAGAATTTTTTTCTGTCTTTCTGTCTGTCTGTTACCGCATCACAGAAAAACCACTAGAGGGATTTTAATGAAATTT